TTATTCAGTTTAATACACACGTTTGGATTTCTGCGTTACATTTTGCTGCCAGTGACAGTCAAAAACCTGGGTATTCCTTTGCGGACGCAACGTAATATATAAGGTACTCCACTATATGTCGATCTACGGGCCATACTACGCAAGGAAGATGGAGAAGGAAGAAGACACAGGAGGAGTCGCTGAGTACACTGCTGGCAAGAAAACTGAAGGGGAAACGGAGAGCGGACGAGAGAGCAAGAGAGAGGGAGGAAGAGAGAGAGAGAGAGAGAAAGAGGAGCAGAACAGAGAAGGCAAGGGTGTAAAGAAGCGTTTGTATGTAATAATTTAGAGTAAAATAATCAAGGAGAAATATAGAATTTGTTCACTAAAAGAATATATTGTTTACAACTATACAACCATCACTATGTCAATCTCCGTCAGTCTCCGCTCCCCGTGCCAGCCTCCTGTTCAAATCGCTCTCTCGCTATATATATCACTCTCTCGTCCAATCGCCAACAAGCTCCACTCTACACAACCAATCACGCACAAACTCCCATCTCTCTCCCAACCCCACATCTGCATCACACATGTAGAGCTCCGTCTAGCCCTGTCTGAGCTATGTATTTCTAACCTATATGCTAAACGGCCAACCCTAACCTATGATATCTACAATTACTAATGTAATACTACATGCGCAAAACAGATGTTACAAGGCTGACAGAGCAGAGACAGAAGACGGTCAAGACGTGAAAGATATATTGCGAACTGTAATGCCTAAACAAATTAATTAGTGGAAAGCTTTAATCTCGTGCCGTCGAAACTGGACGTGAAAAGGTGACATCATCAGGAATGTGTATTTTTATCTGTTTTTCTTTGTTTTATGTACGCGGTATTTTGTTCATGGTTGTGACCGTTTGTCTTTCTGTGGGAAAATCTTTTGCGTGAAACTTTGTGTATAAATTTTTGATCGTTTTCTTAAATTTGTCGTAACGGTACGTTTACACTATATTGTCAGACTGCTAAAAACATTCTTAAAAACATTAAAGAGTTTGATATAGGCCTAAAACATTTAATCGAAAATAGGAAATCAGTTTTTTTTTGGTTGTATATGATGTGTAACTCTTAATTCAACGTTACACTGGCGTTGTTGTACCCCAATTATAGTTCAACGCCTGGCGTTGATGTTTGTCCATCCTGGTTGTATGTCCAAGCGTTCCAAGCGTAGCACAGCGAGGGCCTATTATCAAGCGATGACGCTTATGTAGCAGACGCTCAAACGCCTTATATGCAGCCCCTGAGCCTCCAGACAACAGACAGTGTCAATGCAAAGAAGCCTACACCAAGCGTCTCGTCGTCACCTCGATTGTTGCAATAACAACAAACGCCTAGACGCGCAAAGATGTCTATGTTGTTACGCAACCCACTCCCATACTGTGTGTGCGCGTGTGCGTGCGCGCGTGCGCGCGTGTGCCCGTGCGTGTGTGCGCGTGCGTGTGCGCGTGTGCGCGTGTGCGTGTGTGTGGTAATAGTTCTGTAATACGATCGATTGGCATTTCATGTATTAGAGATCATGTCATTTTTGTTCATAATTCGTAAAGTGTGAATTGTGAAATCACGTGCCCTGAATGCAGGTGATTTCATACACAACAAGAACAAAAATGTTAAAGGTACCTAACCGCTTGTATCATGTGTAGTGATATAATTAACAGCACGTTAAACTTATATACTTAAATATTATTGTTATTTGTTATATAAATATACTACACGCTTCAACAATATAGAAATTATAATGTTATATTATATTGTGTATAATGAGTATGTATTAAATCGCTACACATCCGTTGTGTCACAAATATTCACAAATATTTGCCGAATGTAACAAAGCAATTTGATCAGAAACATAGTGAAAATCGTTCTTTTATTTTTTGATATACAATTAATTAATATCACTATCGTACTTTGCACATTTAACCTATTCAACCTGCTGTATGTAAGAAACACCGTGTAATATATGGTATAGGGTTAAACCAAGCATATGTACGAAATTTATTCAAACTCCTATCATCTCTTCAGCTATATCATTACATAAACCGAAAGCGATTAACAATATTTCGCATTGCGGTGGAACGAACACGTCGTCGCCATGACAAATTTAGAACCCGCGCGCTTCAAACATTTTAGTCGATGCGTGACGTCACTCATCGTCTGCATCGCTCACCAGCCACGCCAGCGCCCGCACATAGGCGGTCCACGCCGCGGGGTTGCTCTGCTCGGGGTAGTCATTTGAATCGATGGGAAACCTGGAGAAAAGTGGGTGAATATGTTCGTTATGTCTGCCCATTTTGCCAGGAAGTGTGGTAATGAAGTGCTGTGTGTTTGGTGATAAGAGGAGAGGCAAGAGGGGAAAAGGGTTCTAGGCAAGCAGACATTTCTGTTTGATAATCACTGGTCGCAACATTGTTCGTTATCAGCGTATCAATTTATATTTCAGTCTTTTGTAAACGAGAAAAACCACGAACACAAATCTATAGGCCTACTAATTACTATTATTTCTCAAAAATGCGCAAAAATCGTTACGCTTCTAAACCAAATAACGTATTCGACTTTACACTACTACACTTTATACTCTGACACTTTCGCTTCTCACCAGCTGGCGGGCCGTTGCGACTCCGATCGTTTCATTCCACGCGAGGCTCTCTTCGTGAAGAATTGGAAGGAGCAGCGACAGTTTTCGCTCGGAATTCCTAGCAGACAGATGTCGCTGCATGCTACTCTCTTTGCTTTAAAGCCGCTGTCGTCGTTTTCTATGATAGCGTCGGCAGCGACGAGCAGGATGAATAGGCAGGCGATGACACGCTCCATTGATTTTACTAGAACAGTAACAAGTTACGAACTCGTCTCAATGATTCTCACCGGTGCATGGTTTCTTGCCGTGCGGTTCTTAGGCAGTATGTGTACTCATTTTACCTATAGTATGACACAGTATAATATGTGCACACACTTTTACGTAGTATTACGCAGAATAACCAGCATACATACACACTTTACCTACCGTCACAACTATATTTAACTAGCTCATAGTATTATAGAACTCCATTGTTACTATTTAGTCATGATTAAATACTGTCTAAAACCCTGTCTAGATATTTAAAAAAAAAAAATTTTTATTTCAATAAGGTACACTTCCTTAGATGAATACAGAGTTCGCCTAGCGCGATTTTCAGCTAGAGTTCTTGGCATCATCTAATTCTAAGGAGTTGCAAAGATGTCGGCTCTATTGTATAATAGAGAGCTGATTGACAAAATGCCTGACTAAAATAATTTATTTTGTTGTTATAAGAAATCCAATTAAAGTTATTTTATAAAAAAGAAGAGATTTTTGTCGTGTTTTCCTAAACGAAACATGATTTCTAACATTTCTTCGCCCATTCCCAGTGCTTGCGTTGACGAGGTAGTAAGATACTTGCGATATCGCCTCGAGCTTAGTTGATGAATATATTTACTACGTGCCGCACTGGAATGAATATCTCCTCATGTTCAATTATCTGCAGAGAGCAACAACCGCACTGCTTCAAGAAGACGTCTGTTATGATATCATTTCAAGTGTCAGCTGCGTTGTCAACACAATCGTAGATTTTTCCAACATTAAGGTTGTCATAGCGTTCCAACCCAATAGAAAATTAATCGGTATGATATTCATTACGTGACTCTGGGCTCACATAATTATATGGGTAAGAATGGCGGTAAAACACCGTCGCATACGGACATGTAAGCTAACCTACGGTCTCCATCGCGACAGTCTGTTGATAAGGCCAGGTATAAACAATTGACATCAATGTACTAATGCATGGACGGTATATAATCGTAAATGACACTCAGCCGAGTAGTGAAGTCACATGCGGCACTCTAAATTGGCGGATCGAATCTACGGCAAGCTCACGAACTATTATCAGTTCAGGGTCTAGTTCTATTACAAACGGCAAAATGACAGTTGTGTGCGCTAATGCAACAATAAACACACGTATAAGATTTCGCGCGTTCTGCGAACCTTTCTCTGGCGTTTGTGTGTGTGTGTGTGTGTGTGTGTGTGTGTGTGTGTGTGTGTGTGTGTGTGTGTGTGTGTTACACACGCACAAACACACATGTACACACACTCACGGACACACGGATATTATATTTTCCTGATATGTGACAAGAGTGACAGGGACAGTGTAAAAATATTTGGTCAGCGAGTAATAACATCAATAGCACTACTTGTTCCTATACACTCCAACTACATACAAACGCCCCCCCCCCACACACACGCACCCACCCATCCAACCACACACACACAAGCACACGCGCACGCACACGCGCACGCACACGCACACGCACATGCACACGCACACGCACACGCACAAGTTAACACACACGCACGCACGCACGCACACACACACACACACATATATATATACATATACGCTCTTGATGTGTACGTATGTGTTCTGTATATGTTCGTGTTCATGTACGTTGTGCGTGTGCGCGTGTGCCTATGTACGTGTGTGTATACGTGCGTGTGTGTGCGTGCGTGCGTGGGTGTGACATGCAGAAATTGCCAATAGTTATTTACCAGAACACAGTACGGTGAAAATAGAAAGAGTATGGTAGCACAAGCAGGATAAACTGATATTCGTGCAAGTAAGTGAAATTGTGTATAATAGTAATTGTGCTTGTAGTTAACATCATGAAGTGACACGACATTTTGTTGTGCTCTCAAAGCCGCCAACCCACAGTACACTAACGCTGAAGGGGTCGTTGTCGTATCATGCAGGTACTACATACATGTACCCGAGGTACATATATGTATACACAAAGTGTACCCTAACCCTAACGCTAACCCTTAACATACCTCACATAAAAATATAAACATAATACTAAACAACCTAAAATATTACCTACCGCTGAGAGGGTCTATGTCCCCCGGGGTACTACCGGACCGTACCTAGCCTACTCCACTAACGAGTCTAGGGAGTCGCCTACGCCTACTCCCTAACCCTATTACCCTAACCGTAACCGTAACCCTAACCATATTAAATAGTGACCAGGGTACGTTCCGGTATACCGAACCGTACCCAGGGTACGTTCCGGCAGTACCCTGGGAGATACAGACCCTATGAGCAAAACTACCTCGGGTACATATATTATGTAGTACCTGATACGACAACGACCCTTCGTGCTACAGTAACGTCTGTAACAATATCTGTATGAATATTATTTTTATTTTTATATAAATACCAAAACATGGTCGATAATTGTAAGTAGGCCCCTATAATACAACCGTCCCTGGTTGGTAGGTGAATACACGTGAACATAAAGATGAGATATGCATGCTGACTTAGTTTTAGATCCCGCATCACAATGAGGGGGGGAACGGGTATTTTCGGGACGCGGGATTGGCCATTTTAATTACCTGGGACTGGAAATGTCAGATAAATTTTCTCGTGATTCGGGATAAAGTCCATCGTGACGTGTGAAATCACCCTCTAAATTGTGTCTTGGGATCTGGGATAAATTGTGTCAATGTCGTCGGCGATTTCAATTTCTGTCTGCGTAACATATTTTTTAAATATTTTTTTTAACATTTTTTTATTAATTATGCCAGATAAATTATATAAGCTAAATATTAGTATTTATGTAGTGTTTGTTTAAACCTAAACTACTCGAATTTCCTGAAACCTTGTCTCATAATTTTCTGGAACTGGAATTAGGATTTTATTTTAACTGGACTGGATATGGGTCTGTTTTTTGCTGGGAAACGTGGGAATGTACCCCCCCGTTTCCCCCCCTCCACAATCATTGAAGAGGAAATAATGACGTCACTTTACGTTCATAAAAACGTCATCCGCGTACCACGTTTACACTCAATACGATTATTATATCACCATTAATTATGACTAATATGTAGTAGGACTGGAAGAATTTATATGAATATCGATATAGTATAGGGCTCCAGGAATGAATCAAATACAAATATATAAACTGCTATCCAGATGAGACGGAATAGCTAGATAAGCGTTGCGAAAGAGATTGATAGCCGAAGCCGGCTAACGCAGATCTTTTCGCGCAGTTCCGCGGCCAGTAGGCCGCACGCGACCGGCGCGGAACTGTCCTAAACACAGTATGCAAGCGCTCAGCTTTGCATCCGTGCGCGTAATAATTGGCGGGCCACGATCGCATACTGCCAGCGAAACAGTCCGCAATTTAAGTGGGGGGACACAGAGGGTAGACATTTGGACGTGAACAGTGTTCACCTTGTTTATAAAAACTGTAAATGCGGAGTAATTCCTGTCGTAACCGAGCTTTCACGCGAATCACAAAGAAAGACTGTCGAAAATTCTGACATTCGCAGGAACACTTGCCTAGTAATGGAAACGCTGCAGAATCAGGAACACACCTACCGGCGCTCTTCCGCCACCATACGCTGCAACGTTTTTCCAACGTTGGGCATGTCGAGGCTCGTACGGGAGTTTGGATAAGCAGTGCGCCGCCTGCTCCCGCCGCCTATACCCATAGATGGCACTCTCTCGCACGCTCTCGCTTTAGCTAGTCACTCACTGGCTAATCGAGGTGGGAAGCTAAGTCCTGAGTCCTATAATTACCTTTTGCACTCGCAATCCTCTTGAAAGAGAGTAAAGGCCTATACTACAAAACATTAACATTCGTATAAATATATTCGTATTTAGTTAGCATTAATTATTGAAGCTGCTTCAGAGTGGACCTGTGTCCTAGATATAGCCTAGAAAGTTTCTTCGCATCTGTTATGGTAAGCACGTAGTTTAAAATGTACTCGTGACCTAATACCATACCATAACAATGTATGTAACCACGAAATTTACCAATTATTAGGCAGCAGCATCGAAATGCAGGCTAAAACATCATTGACAAGCCTAAAATGTCCATCGCTTATTATCATGATAAACCGCTAAAATTTTACTAACTGAACATATGTATTGGGGGGGGCTAAAATGGTTCATCGATTTTGTGACATCTACATTGAATCTGCACATATAATTTTCAATTGTGAAATGATGGGGATAGGGTAGGCATTATAATATAGAACCCGCCCGTTACAATAGTAAATAGACCCATTATAAATAAGTTATTGTTAGAATGTACCATATGATAATGAGAGCTTTCAAACATATAGTGATGTATGATTATGGGTAATCAAACTTTCAAGTAACTGTGAAAAATAGAAGAGACAGATTTAGAATGGTCGAGTGCGATCGGAATGCATGCACGAATAAAATTGCAAAAGCCCCCCCTAAACTCAGTTCAGCCATGCTGCTCTACTCACAGCTCATGCCCATTTCCCTCACGGTGTATAACGCAATACTTCTGTTATCACGTTCGTCGAATCGTAGTTTACGTTTGAGTCTGACCATCAGGGTTAAACACTACAATCCCTCCCTTTTTCATAACGTAACCGATCCGGTCTCGAGAAAAGTCGAAACGAAATCGGCACGCATATCGCAGTCGTTACGCCATCTATCGCCCCCGCCACTCACACTAATGTACAACTGATTACATGTGATGTGACAAAAATACTAAAACTGTGTTTTGGACAGGAAACGCAAGGCTCTCGAGTCGCCAAAAAACTTATACGAGCATTAAGGCAAATTGTCACTAACATGGCTAGCTCAAATCCCGTTCGTCCGAATCGCTAAAATGCTCACTCAGCCCGAGCTTGCTGCTTGCCTTAATATATTTAAAACCGTTGAAGGCTGATGGAATGGTGGCAGCGGTATCCGTAATTTAGAGGCCGGCCCCTGGCGGCGTTGGCGGGGCGCGCTTCGGCGCGGAATAATCCGCTGCTAAGAATGTCCAGCAATAGAGGCGTGCGCGCGTATAATATATATATTATATATATATAATATATATATATATAAATATAACTAAATACAAACAAACACAGGTGTTGGGCAAAAAACAAACAAACTAAAACTGTAGCAGAACTAAACCGTTATTATTTATTAATACGTAATCTCCCAGTTACATAGAAACCTGCACGCTTAGCTGCACACATACACGCATAATTAGGTCCCTTCACAATTACCAAAATATACACATTATTGTTTTGTAAAAAAAAAGACCTACACGAATATTTACAACCATTCCCTGAAAAATTCTAAACTTACACGCACAGTACAGGAATGCATATATCAGATCATGACGTCATTTACTACACGAAATGCGCAAGTACCTAAAATCAAAGGCCTATTACGACCATGTGATAGAGCTGAATATGGTATAGGGCTCTTGTCAACATGTCAATGATGGCACAGGGCCTACTAACAAATAATACATCTTTATTCGCCATATCACATCATTTAGAATCAAGCCGAAAACCTTCTGCCCACTTTCCTACCAAACTGTGGAGGTAATACCGCACGCACGAATGAACATCGTATGGAAGTTAGGGCCCGCCGTCACCCTATCTGGCCTTTTCACAAAACGCCGCACAAATAGCCATGCTAAATCACGTTAAGGACACGTGGACGAATATACATTTATACATTACAGTAAACCCAAATCCCAACAGTCTGTCAGTCCCTCATTTCAACTAGAATAAAACTTATTGCTTGCATCTGCAGTTTTTAATGTACACATTACAGCATCCGAGATTCTATAGTTTGTTCACCCCAGGTGTACTGTGAGATTAATTAAACACAATAACTAAATGCATAAAGGTAGGTAATCTTATGCAAGATAGACAGCCAATTTAAAGCCATGCATAACTATGACAAACCCTTATGTTATTGGTGCAACAGATATTTTGCCACATATAAGACATAGTTCGGCGCAATAGGTACAAGCCCATGGTTATTGCTTTCTTAGCTCAAATAGATGAAGATCAAACTATATACACTATTCCACTCAATTTGTATTTTACACCGGCTATCGTGTAATGACGTTTATCAACGCAATAGTAAGAATAGTTTTGAGGAAAAATGAAGAATTTTGTATGTTGGTAACCAACAATGAGTGGATTATCTGTCTGTCACGCAAAACGTTGCAAGAAAAAATAAAATGTGCACGAGTCATGACAATAAGATATCACAATTAAGTAATGGCAATAAATATACAGAACTCTCGAGCTCTCAAACTTCTACCATATCCTAGACTTTCAAAGGTTGACACGTTCACATTTGTCTCAATTGTAGGCCTATAATTTAGTAGTTTTTACTCCTTCAGGAAAGTACGACAAAGTCGTTTGTAACGTTGCCACAATACGATCACTTCTATAATAAATGGGCAACCGTTCACGTCTTATTATATGTTAGACTTCATTAGATATAACCGATGAATGACCCACGTTATTCTTTGGAAAAGTATTTGCAATCTGAAAATGCATATATGTAACAGTACTTGACTATATATAACTTACAAACACCACAAAATTCACATTCACACAGTGGTAGTTTTGGGCGACGGTGCAGTGTTGATATGCATAAAGCTGTGTTTATATTTAGCTTAAGTACTTTATTTGCATTTTTGTACTTAAACAGTTCATTAGGTGTAATAATATCTATATTAAATGCTCATTTTCTTTGAAAACGAACGATAAAAATACTTTCAATACTATGTTGGTGACGTTAACAAAGTTGTGGCATTAACTCTTTTTCCATTTTCCTTTCAGTAGCTTCAATTTTAGGAAAGCACCTTCATTAGAAACGTCACCTAATGTAACTATTGGTTTCATCAAAGTCAAATTCACTTGAAAACTTCCGACTGGCTACAGTTCAGATGTGAAACACATTACATAGTAATAAGTTAGCAGGCCCACATTTAAAGATTTCTTGTTTAATGTTACAAGACCTAGCCCCTTTTCAAGGGTGGACCAGAAGGCAGGCAGAATTTGCTTATATGATGTACACAAGAGTACAATTACAGACATGAACGATTTGCACAACTGACCACTAAACACTTGTTTAAGGGTATTTGAACTTCCACCAAAAGGATCTTGACTGGTCAGAGAGGTTATGGCAAATAAGAACTGTGTTGCAACGCTAGCCTAATATGCTCCACCTTGAGCAATTACTACACGTCTTATATTCTTTAGGAATGTCTTTTCAGTGTCGTTATTGGCCGGATCTTGTCCATGTACAATCCTGCGATGTGCTATGCCTGGATACTAGAACGATAATTAGTCTTTTTACTTTAGGATTACTCCACCTTACAATGTGAATATATACAAATATTTCATCTATGTGTAACCGGTTGGGAATCGGGTATGCTTGCCGTCGATAGGTGGCAGCACGTGATTGCCACGTGCGGGAATGAGCTCCCGGATTCGCGCGCAAAGCTCACTTCGGCTGTAGGAGACAAGGGGAACGGCGCTGTGTAAAATCGGGATCAGGAGTGGAAGGACGTGGACTCGGACACCGCTCTTGTCTTCGCTCTCACGTTTTCTTTCACAATAAAGAAACCTCGTACACTGTAGATGTGGGTTCAGTGGTTTGTTTGCACAGCATCCTATTGCCAGCGCGCGCACCCTGTACACTCACCACATTTCGTATCATATTGCTCGAACAATAAATGACAGAAAGCTAGTATAGAAGGTGGTTACACCTTACACTCAACTTCACATAAATATTAAAGCTGTAAGGATTGACAGATTGAGAGCTATTTCTTGATTCGGTGGTTGGTGGTGCATGGCCGTTCTAAATGTGGTGAGCGTACAGGCCGTGTGCGCTGGCAATAGGATGCTGCGCAAACAAACCACTGAACCCACAACTACAGTGTACGAGGTTTCTTTATTGCGAAGAAAACGTGAGAGCGAAGACAAGAGCGGTGTCCGAATCCACGTCCTTCCACTCCTGATCCCGATTTTACACAGCGCCATTCCCCTTGTCTCCTACAGCCGAAGTGAGCTTTGCGCGCGAATCCGGGAGCTCATTCCCGCACGCGACAATCACGTGCTGCCACCTATCGACGGCAAGCATACCCGATTCCCAACCGGTTACATATGCATGATGGCCGATTAATTACACACTTTGTAGTACTATGCAATAAAAGATTTCTCTCTACACATTAAATATATACTAAAGCAAACTGTTCACAATTAAATAATATCAAGAGCTAATAATACCTAGAGTGTACAACGGAAAAACGGGAAAATAGTGCTATTTCACGACATGATTATTCTACTTTGCCTGCGAGTCTAGAATAATTTTATGGTATTGCATTAAGCAGAATTCTTTGCTCTCTAAAACAAGACCAACCGCTTGTCAATACAATACTCCTAGGCTGAGATATTGGCTCCTAAACCTCCCCTCCCACATGTCTCACACGGCCTGGCATCCAGCTTATTCCGTAACCTAAACGCCTCTAAGGTTGCTTCGTGAGAGTTCGGTTTTTCCGCCATAATTTTATGAATGATTTTCGGGTGCAGGTGCAGGGTGGAGGTGACTTTCGGGGGCATCGCCTATGCCTTTATCTCCCATTATCTTTCCTAGCACGGCTAATGCCCGTCATGATGGAGCCGGCAATGTTTTTTTAATTAAGTCTCTACAACGCAGCTAGTAAGAGTACAAAATTTGGGCATGTGACATCAATTATCAGCGCTCCAAGCGGTGACGGAAACCGATAGCCGAAATGCTTAGACGCGTGAAGGATGCGGACAGAAGTGGATTCGAGGCGGCGTTTGGCATGTGGGAGGGGAGGTTTAGGAGCCGATATCTCTGCCTAGGAGTATCGTATTGACAAGCGGTTGCAGGCAAAGTAGAATAATGTTGTCGTGAAATAGCACTATTTTCCCGTTTTTCCGTTGTACACTCTAGGTATTATTAGCTCTTGATAATATACCATTCTACATTACCTTCATTTTGGAGTGATCTTCCACTGCTGAAATGTGCTCTGCTGTTTGCATGGTGCCAACACAAGAGTATTTCCTTTAGCCTCAACACATTTGTTGTAACGCGTGTGTGAGATTTGTTTTGTTGCCTAAAGGGGATGAGACGACAAGTACATTCAATAAATAACTGTATTACACATAAATTGGTGATTTTTGCATTTAATTTTAACTGTATAAAAATTAGTGGTTTCACATGTGGTTGCCATTTAGAAAAATTCTTATTGCGATCTCTAAATTTAGCCAATGTTAGAACACATTCTAATAAAAAGTACCTCAACTTGTTTTGACTTGAAACAAGAGACAATGTTACAGGATAACATACGTATGGCAAAAATGACAAGCTACTGCAAGAGAATGTAATTATAAGAATAAGAATATGAACATGAATAAGAATGGTGAAGAGAATGTATTAATAGAGAGTTATGTGTTATGTGGGTGTGTTATGTGTTATGTGTGTTATCTGTTATGTGGTCACTGGCTTACATCGTCATATTTCCATTGGTCATCCACCTTGCCATCAGGACAGACCTTATACATCAATGAGGTGCCTTGTGCACTGATGCACCGTTCTCCTGTCGTTATCTGCCCAGCAGTATTCAGCCGGTACCTCTGCAAAAAAATCCACGGTAGGTGAGAATAGCACGATTAGGGATAAACGCATGTACCTTTCAGTGTTAGGTAAAGCCAAGTGAAATAGTGTTTCTCAAAATACCCCGATTGCATGGAGTGCACCGATCTTATTAGACAGTATTAGGCATGGTTAGCGATATTACCTGGTTACCTCCAAAGCCATGGCATGCACTGATACCTATTGCCTGTCCAATTGGTGCACTCTGGGTGTCCCAGCACACGTTTTGACCACCCACGTTGCGAAACTGGTCAGAGAAAACACATTTTTTGCTGTCATGACACTTGACGATAATTATCATTACAGCATACAAATCTCTAGAATGCATCATCAAACAAAAATTTCACACACAAAAAATCAAGCTTTGATTCCACATAAAATTTGAAATGGTGTTATTAATGTCTGGTGAGTTTAAATTTTATTTATTGCCACATTGATTGATATTGTGGCGAGAATTAACTGAGGTGCCAATGTGCGCTTAAGTCACTGCAATAATAATTTTATCAAGTTGTGGAAAATTCTCGATCTACAACCTGTAGACGGAGCACCACGACACGGAAAATGAAAAAATCCTGTAAACCGTCTAAACTGCATAAATCCACACAGGATAAAGCATGCTTTTTTCTCTCAAAATGTCACACCTCTCCCCAGACTTTGTTGGGCGGCTGCAACGGGAATCGATCGAGCACCATAGACGCAACGTTCTCCATGAACCACTTGAAGCTCTTGCAGTTGTACTGCTGCTTGAATTTCAGCTGTTCGCTGATGTCGCCTTCATCGAGTTTCCGGACGTAGGGCAAGCGGGCGTAGAACGCCTCTTTGTACTCGTCCTCCATCCAAACCTCAACAACTCGCTTATAATTCTGTACAGAAAATGCTACGATTATGAAAATGAACTCAACTGCATCCAGGACTGTATAATATAGACTCATATATTATAATATATAATATAGTATATTATATACATTATATTATATATATTATATCATTATTAGTAGTATTAGTATATTATAATATATTATATAATAGTATATAAAATACATAGATTTAGTCGATATTATACAGGTTTATGCCTGGTTGGCTTACTCCCATTTTGCCTAGGGCAGAATTCCCATTTCGACTATAGCAAAACTCCCAGTTGGTCTACACCCATTTTGCCTACTCCCAATTCGTCCACACTAAAAATCCACCCCATTCCTATTTTGTCTACCATCAGTTTGTCCACTAAATAATCATTTATAAATGTAATATATGGTTTTGATTAGCATACATAGACCAGACGGAGTGGTATCCACACTAATTTCTCCTGGTATTTGTTGTAATATCAATACTACGACGAAATGGCACTACATTACCCATTCTGAGAGTAGACGAAATGGGAGTAGGCGAAATGGGAATATTGCCCATTCTGAGAGTAGACGAAATGGGAGTAGGCGAAATGGGAATATTGCCCATTCTGAGAGTACACGAAATGGGAGTAGGCGAAATAGGAAGTAGGGGAAATGGGAGTAGGCCAACTGGGATGTTACCATTACACACTCCTGCTGAATCTACTGTTTTGATGCTTATAAGCAATGCATAAATTTCGAAGAATATAGATCAATAACAGTTTGTTCACTCTTCCAGAGATACATGGAAAATTATGGTAACAAAATCAAGCATGTTCAACTATAGTCATCAAAAACCAATATTCTTGGTTAAAAATTATGTAGATTTACCAGATCTATGATCGGGCCTTTGCTGGCGTACTCTCCAAAGCCGTAAGGCATGAAGTGTCTGTATACATGACCAACACGTGAACAGGGTACCCATTCAACACTTCCTCCACACATCCACACCTGTGCAGTAAAAACAGACAATAAAGGAAACATCTCAGCGTTTTAGGTTCACATGGCTAAATAGTGTTATGGAAAATCTACACAAGCTCTATAAGTGAGGGCACAAGATTTTGAATTTTCTCAGTGTGGAACTAGCAAACATTTAGCAGCCTGTATAGCAATTTTGTAGCCTAATAGATTGTAGTACGAATATTAGGCAGGTCAAAATGCAGAGCAAATAGGTATAGGAATGTTTTGCCTTTGCATTCTCAATTTAACAACTGTAAAATATAGATAAATTAAGGTAGGATATCCTTCAATTAAAACAGTGGTGTAGGCTGCAAATTAATGCTATAATGAATAAATAAAACAAGAGTTATTTTCTTCCATGCATTTGTCAGATTGACTCAAAAATTGACATTTCACACCACACCACCGGCTACACTAGTTGCTAACCAATGTTTTTTTCCTACACAACAGAAACGAAAATTACCTTGAAAGACAATTCAAAGTTCTCGCCACCCCACACCATCATTCCTGGGTCATAGCCTCCAACTTCTAGGAAATACTTTCTATCTATGGCCAATAAACCACCAGCATGAGTCGGAGCTCTGAAACATAATGAAGTAATTATAACTATAAGAATACGCTATAGATATTTACAGCAAACTATGTGGAAAAGCTGATACTGAATTAATATAAACAGAACAGGTATAATATCACACTAATAGAAATCCATTTTATGAGCTAGCTAATAATATTAATAATGATTTGATATGCTATAATGTAAAACTGCCCGGTTATACTAGATGTAGTTTCACTCAAGGTGTTGCCATGCAGCGGTAACATTAAACTTGAGTAACCTAAGCTTTTGGTTATTGGTTACACACAAAAACAAACCTATGAACATTTTCATAGGAAACATAACCTACTTGTATGGCATACTATCATGAGCTCTTTGCTTTCGTATTTTCTCCGGAAGCTGCATTTCCTTGTACAGGAATCCCCACTCGAATATTCCAATGAAGTGAGTGCCTGCCGAGTATGTTGGTCGGTAATGGAAATCATCCATGTCTATACCATCCACTATAGGCACGGCAATTATAGTCCTGCAAAACAATTCCCGATTACCACAAATGTTTATTACTAGGAGTACATATAATGTGGGATTGTTACACATTTTTACCCTGTACTATTCCACCAGCTTAATTTACCCTTACCAGATTTTGGCATCAATGAAAGTGTCAATGACACTGTAGCTCACCACAAAAAAGGACACAAATGAGTGAGTAAGAAGAAGTCAGTTTTAATTGAGCAACCATCGACGTACATTATAGAAACGATTGCCATCTGTATATCGCAATAATAATTTATAAACCAAATTGAATCACAATTTGTGACCGTAGATGGCGCTATACCCGCTTTGTAGCGATGGCGTTTGAAATAAATAGGTTATGCTGCGTTCCAACATGTTTTGTAAATCTTTACTCTAATTTAGACGTTTTATCGGCAGGGTGGAGAGGAAATACCAATTTTGCATTAAAGATATTGTCAATGAAATCTTGTAAAACGAACCAGACGAGTGTGACACCACAGACTGTTTGTGTCTATATAATATGCTATATAATTGCCAAACCCTACCTAATTTGCATAATTTTTTTTAAATATCAAAACCCCTAGCCCTTATTCATTCACATACCAAAAATGAGCAAAATCCTCACTAATGGCAATTCCCATTTTTGCCAAAAAATTGCCGTGGCTCGAAAGTACTCAAAATAGGACGTTTAATATGGGAGCATAGCAGTAACAACTATACCCGATTTCAAACATGTGGGCCAAACGGTTCCTGAGTTATCGTTGACCGAAGCGAAATGTTGACGGACGGACGGACGGACGGACGGACGGACGTACGACGGACGACGACCCATGGCAATAGCTCAGCTTGACGATGTCAAGGTGAGCTAATAAAAATTACACTCTTTTAGTTTTACAGTACTTGCCATTTGTAGACAGTAATTTCAGCGAAATCACCAATAAAGAGACATCTTCGCACAGGTTTTTGGCTTCTACGCTAGCGCCAGAGGAGGCAGGAACGAAGATAAGGAAAGTCTGGGATCTTGTATGAATTTTGATTTCATCAAAAAGCAAATAACAGAAGTAACACAATAACTAATAATAAAGTTATTTAATACTGACTTATTCTTCACAAAATTATTATATCACATTCTTTGGGGCCTAGAAGACTGTCCATTACATATTCATGCCATTATATATAGTCTAAGTGAGTACATCATGCACGATCATGAGTTCTAATGCAAGTCCCTGGCATATAGTTTTCGTTTTAATGATGCCAAAATTTGACAAGAAAACCCAGTAAACCCCCAGTAACATAAGTGTAATTATTATTCTGCATTATGTAATACTGATACTATAGATTAGAGGTTTTGCGATTTCCATAACCAATAAATTATGATAAAATTAAAGAGAGATTCCCTCAAACTTTCAGGCGGCAAGCATAAAATCAGGCAAAAATGAATTATTTTAACATTGCACGCTTGTACTTGCCTATATATAGTGTGTGCTAATTAAAAAAAAAATCAGGAATACATTCATTCAAAGTTTTTAGACTACAAAGTGAAACGTTCGGGTCGAATGTTTCAAACGCGTTTACCGTTGCCGCTATGTAGCGATTGTTCCGCTCCGCACACTTGCCGTGTTATGTATGTATGAACCATGCTATGTAAAATTATACACACTGGCATGTTATGACCCAATGATTTTTCTGGTCACGTACATGGCTAGCTGATAGGAAGAGGGCAACGTTTTTGTTGCTGGGTGATTATAGTATTCTGAGAGTGAGTCGAGCGTCCTGTCAGGTCGCTGTTAGTTCGGATTACGTTTTGTTGGGTTTTTAGCATGTTCTATCTCAAAAACGGTTACGGTAAAAATTCTGAAATTAATAACATAAACAGTCAAGGCGCCTCTCTGTCTAGACTACAAAGTTTGATTTCATAAAATGATTTATATTAAGTTATATCTGAAAGTGGCTACATTGACTCGATTGAAGTGATGGTTGCTCAAATATAAACAATATGGCGCCAACTAAAGTAAAACCGCGGCGAAAAGCGTTTTTCGAGTTGTTTCTTCGATGAGAAAATACAGGCTTGATACATATTTTTACAGTTTTCAAAGCTAACGTTCAGTTAAAGTGTAGTGAGTTATTTACTGACGTTTTTACAGTGGTTTGTTACACAAATTTACGTGGAAAGTTCGAGGGAATCTCCCTTTAATAAGCATGGCCATCAATATTTTAACTCTGCAGTCTGCACTGTTCATTGTGTTTAGTAGCAGTCAGTAGTCATCGTTTCAGCCCCAATGAGATGTCTAATGCTAGGTTTAGGCTAGAAAAATGTCACCCCTATATGAAAGACTGTGCTACACTACTAAGAATTGAGGCTGGCACCAAGTACGAACAAATAGGTAATACGACATCTCCTCTTGACCACAGACACGCACGCACGCACGCACGCACGCACGCACGCACGCACGCACACACGCACACACGCACACACACACATATATATCATCAGTGTTTCCCCCTAAATAAAACCATGAATGAGGGGTGGCAGGATTGAATAAGTGAGTGCCAAAGGTACTTAAAAGTTAAAGGCATGGTATATTTATATATATATAAATATATATGGTACCTACCTGTCATCATTGATTCTGTTTAGCAAAGGAGGAAGCCAGTTGAAATTGACTTCGCAGTGAGCATCTAGAAACACAACGACATCCCCGACGGCATTCTTGGCGCCGATTGTGCGGGAGCCAATCAGGCCTTCTCTTTTAACGTTACGTATCAAGCGTACTTTTCCCAGCGTCTTAACATAGTCGTCCAACTTTTCTTTCAGATGCTCTGAACAAACATACACAAGAATGCAAAGCTGCATGAGAATCTGCAACATATGACACTGCAAGCATCAACAAGTGCCGCAGTGCGACAGGGCCCATCTGGTGTCTGGTGTTCTGCTGATAAATTCATTTGTGCATAGCAAGACGTCTTATACATAAGTCTTCTTTATTCTTGTTTGACTTTCGTAGCCAATTCGAAGAAATATATCAGCTACACTTCCGCACCCACCTAATCTCTATGGGCTAATTCTAATAACAAGAACAATAATAACAATTCAAATACAAGTTAATGAATGACATTGACGTTGACATAAAAGATTTCAACATATGAGCATGGCCCTCCAAGTTTAACTAGAAAGGACAGTTGTCGCCAACTACATGTATCCCCCGTGTTCTCCCCAAGATGTGTAAGTATACGAAGTAGCGCTAGGTCAATTAGGGGCCGAGTTATAGCGCGGAAGGGAAATTCTCTGCGGCGGACCGAGCGGCGGCGGCGGCTGGGGAGACATGAAACCATAGTATCCCCGCTGACTTCGTCGCGAGGGATACAATTAGAAGGGGGCGGGGGGGTCCTTCTCTCCCACCTCCCTCCCTCCTGCCTCTCACCTCCCTCCCCCTCGCCTCCCACTTCACTCCCCTTCGCCTCTCACTTCCACCCCTTACCTCCCACTCTCCCTCCCCCTCGCCTTCGACCTCCCTCCCCCTCGCCTCCCACCTCCCACTCCCCTTCGCCATACCATCTCGCACGACCTAACTTGTACCCCACTTTCCCGT